CAGGCATTAAAAATATATTTCATAAGCTCAACACCGGCGTCAGACGTCGAGCGACCCCTTGTAAAACCAAATTGATTTTTATGAAGTAATTTATTTGTATTAAAAAAAATTAACAATTGATCCAAAATTATTTTTTCAAAAATTTTACTGAGAGTTGGTAGTACAGAAATAGGTCTATAATTAGCGGGGTCCAATGTACTACCAGATCTAAATAAAGGTATTACTTTACTATACTTCATTAAATCAGGAAACACACCAGAATCGATACAAGTATTAAAAATAATAGCAAGATGAGGTGCAATTAAATCTATTATGGACGCAATCACTGTAACGGAAATCCCCCACAAATCTGCGGTTTTCTTTACATCAATGGTTTTGAAGTATTTTACAATATTATGCGGTAATACTTTTTCAAATCTAAATTCTTTTAAACAGGTATTAACATTCTGTTTAAGTAATGATTAGGCGACAGTTGGAGAAGCATTCAATGACTCTGTTGTCAAGATAGGAACATCAGTGAAATATTTCTCAAACACCGCTGCAACTTCTTGATTTGATTTAGTCAATTCATTATTAATTTTTAATTGATAGTTTGAATTACGAGGTTTCTCTTTACCGGTTTCGCTATTAATTATACTCCACGTCATTTTAATTTTATTCTTAGCTGTCTTAATTTTGTTACTAATATGTAATGATTTGGCTGTGGAGCAAACTCTTTTAAACATTTTAGAATAATTTTTTACATATTCTTTAAAAGCATCGGAAAGATTATACGATCTTTCATGGTAAAGGTCATATAACCTTCATCTGCTTTTATGAATTCCTACTGTCGCCCACTCATTAAATGCCTTGCGACTGTTTCTGGAGAATGTTTTAGAAGTGAATTTTTTATTAAATTCATTGTTTATAAAGGTAAATAATTCTCTATATAAATAGTCTGCATTGTTCTTATAAGAAAGGGATGGAAGGATTTTTAACATATTACTTCTAAATCTCTCCAGGCGTTTTGCATTAATAGGAACAAACACAATTTTCTCATTTACCTGTTTTTTGTGCATATAAGGTAACGAAACCAGTTGTCCACAGTGATCTGAACTAAGTTTTTGAATTATGGATTTGTTGATTGGTACAACACCTGTAAAAATATTATCAATACAAGTTGCACTACACCCTGCAATACGTGTAGCTTCAAAGAATAAATTATTAAGATTATAGGATTTGAACAAAGAACAGAATTTAATACTGATGGAAGAAGTTTCCAGGAGATTGATATTAAAGTCTCCACACACTACAAGAGATTTATTCTGTTTATTAAGCTTAACTAAAACTTCTTCCATAATTTTTTCAAAAGTATCATAACTTGAACATGGGGGTCTGTAAACACTGACAACAATAAGGTGCTCAAGCTCAACACATGCCATTTCTACAGTACGCTCAACAGAGAGGCTCACAATGTCTTTACGTTCTTTACATGATAAGGACTTATTAGCTAATATTAAGGAGCCACCACCTAATTTAGTATCTCTATTGAACGAACTGACCACCTGGTGATTACTGAAATTAAATATGGAGTTGTATTCTTTCAACCAATGTTCTGTAATACATAAAATATTTATACTGTTACTATTTAAAAATAATTCTATTTCTAATTCTTTGCCTAACATACCTTGTATATTTTGATGCACCAGGTTGATACAGTTTTTATTATTGTTATTTTGTAAAATTGCATAATTATGTATTGGTAAGTTGCATTCTAAGCTATTTAAATTATCTTTGCTAGAGATTACCTCTATTGTCTTATTATCTAATTTAAATTACTTGGAACTGGTTCCAAATCAAATGTAAAATTATTTTGTTGCTCAAAAGAAGCAGGTGTCAAGGTAGCCAAATCATGGGCTGAGTTAAAATATAAATAATAAGATAGCGTATCTGCTACCATTCTTAAACTATACTTTGATAGGTAATACCTATCTCTTGTCAAAAACTTCTTAGTTAAATTATTAATATCAATTAAATGAAATTTATCATTATTATTCTTACAATTAAATGTCAAATTTAAGTTATTGTTACATGTCAAGTTATGCATCATTAAATTTAAATTATGTCTTAGTTTATTTTCCTGTGGCCACCCCTCTATATAAGGCAATGTAAACAAGATAAATTTAACCACATTTATGTTATTGAGATATTCAATATATTTTAATAATTGATTCTTGTTCATATTGCCTCTTCTCCCAACAAAAATTATTAATATACTATTAGGGTTAAATTTACTAGTTAAAATTTTATTCATAATATCACTGAATGATGCTCCAGGCATGCAGTAATTACTTATCTGTTGCCTTTTTAAACAGTTATTCAATGATATACCCAAGTTTTTGCCTATGTCATCACTATACACAATTATATTATTTTTTTTCATTATATGAATTACTTTTTAAATTTATCTGCTTTGTTATGGTACTATCATAGAGTGTAGGTAAAGAAAATGAAGTATTACTGCTTGTCGTATTATTAACACACACTGTCCCTAAAGAACCTGGCAGTGAGCGCTGATATTCATTTTGATATTTTAATAAGGAGTCAAAACGTTTCTCGTTATATTTTCAGGACTTTACCAGATTATCCATGGCCAGTATGTGTTCTTTTATCTCATTCCCTGCAGATTTATATTTATTTGACATAATTTGTAATGAGGTTTGAAGTGATAAAATTTCTGAATTAAGACACTCTATTTCAGTCTCATAACAATTTTTCATGTTTTCCACCTCAATTGAATATAATTTAATTTTACTAATTAACTCTTGCTTTTCCTTACATACATTTGTATAAATTTTAATATTAATTTTAGTTTTAACTAATTTTTGCACTTTCCTAATATATTTATTAATTTTTATATATTTTTTTAATTTCCTTCTGCTGCTTGTAATCCTTTCTGCTGTTCTTGATGTGGTAGAATCATCAGTCAAATCTATTGTTGTGGAGGGTTGCAACGTTTTATGAAATTTACATTCTACGAGCTCCTCGAACAGACTCTGAGTTTTAAGTGCATGCAAGTTATCAATGTTTTGTTTAAATTGTGAAATTTGCTCATTAGTTTCAGTTAATTGTAATTTCAATAAAGCAATTAATCTGAGGGATTCCTCATATTCTTTGCTGCATCGGTCAAACTCATCGACTGTCCTCTGGAGCTGATCCCTTTCCTTTAAAATATCTGTATAGTCTCTATGTAAGTTAACCATATCACTTTTCAATTGAGTATTTTTCGAAATTATACTTATTATTTCCTTTTCGTTGTCATCTCTTTCTTTAAGTAACAGCTCACACTGCTCCCTGGACGCCCTCAGTTCTTGGAGCGCAAGATGGAGTTGGTTCTCCATCTGGCGCGTTTTGGCGTTACGAGTATTCATTTTACTATGTATTTTAAATAGTAAAAGAAAACAAAGATGGAAAATCAAGGGAACAGAGTAAGCAAATATCCAATTATAGGACTCTAATTACAGATCTCAAATTAAATTATCAAGAAAACAATTCAAAATGAAATCCGAAAACAACAACACTTAAGAGATATATCGTAAATATTAAAAGGAATAACAAGAATTACAGTAACTCTTAAACGATGTTCGTTACCTGCTGTCACTTTAAGTTGAGAGGCACTAAAAATTTATTTATTTAAATATTTACCACTTTTATTTATTACACAATAAAATTTGTTCGTAATTAACAACTATAACTTAAATTTGAGGTGGAAATGATCAATTACAATAATTATTTTTACGAAATTATTTGGGAGCCCAATTTTTTAACTATTTGTCACCGGGGTTGCCACAGAGAAGCCGAATTATAAAGGATATTTCAGCATTGTTCTCATGGCACTTGCAAATGCAAGGAAAGAATTTATAATGATTGATGTTGGAGCTAATGGCCGAGTTTCTGATGGTGGAATGTTATTCTACACAAAATTCTGGGAATTATATCAACAAAGAAGCTTATTCTTACCACAACCAGCCACATTCCGAGTACATCAGATATTTTCCCCTTTGTTTTCATTGGCGATGAGGCTTTTGCATTAGGTGAAAATCTGATGAAGCCTTATCCCCAATATACTTGTAATTATGAACAAAAAACATTTAACTACAGACTCTCTCGTGCTCGTTCTGTTGTTGAATGCGCTTTTACTACGCACAAAATTCGGAGTTTTCCAAAAAAACATCAATTTCGAACCCAGTAAAACTGCATTTGTAGTAGCTACTCACATAATTACTTGATTAAAACTTCTCGGAAACAATACTTGACATTAAGCTGGAAAGTTGAAACACAAAGCAGTAAACAATTATTGGATTTAGAGCCTACTAATAACAGAAATCCTTCCATAGACGCAAAAATAACAAGACAAAAATTTTGTCATTATTTTAATAATGAGGGAAAACTATTGTAAGTATCGGTATTTCGTTGTTCTACCTACTGATGATTTAAAGATACGTCCCATGTAAATTTCATTAAGGATTATCGAATATTTGATGCAATAAATAAATATTATATAAAGATGATACCTACTTGTTTAATTTAATACACTAATAAAGTTTATTACTTTTTTAGGTATAGGTTTAGGTAGAATTGAAGCAACTTTATTGATGTCTCGATTTATTGTAATAAATATTTGTATTTACTTATCAAAAATTGGTTAAATCGCAGTATTAAGGACAGCTCGAAACAATTCGGTTATAACGCCTACACAAATGGTTCATACTAAATAATTGACGAAGTTTTTGCTTATACATTTCTGAAAGGCGCTTATTAAGTTATAAAACGTGACTGTAAATTTTTTTTATTTAATTGTAATAGGTAAAACAATATATACGTAAAATATTACAGGTTGTTCTATATTTTAAAAAAATATATAAGTACTCGAAATACAAAATTTTGGGATGGTAAATTTCGTCTGCCTCTGCACCAGACCTTTTAGATGTTATGCATTGATATTTTTTATCTGTAAAGATATGCGACCATTTAACATAGTTGAAGGTAAAGGCTTTTTACGACTTGTGAAAGAACTAGAACCTACTTTTAAAGCTCCCTGTTCAAAATATTTAAAGAAAAGAACTACGGAAAAGTACGAAGCTTATGTTGCTATTTCTAAGTCCAGATTATCCAAAATAGACAACTTCTGCCTAACGGTAGATATATGGACAGAGACAATGAATGAAGTGGGATTCATGGGGGTCACAATACATTTTGTAGAAAATGGTTAAATGTGTATGTATTATCTTGCAACTCGTGCATTAAGTGAACGACATACAGCTGATTACATATTGGAAAACCTTCTTTATATTATCAAAAAATGGGATATTTCACTTACCAAAATTTGTGCAGCTGTAACACATAATGCCAGTTGTATTTTGGCTGCTATACGGATGTCTTTAGGTGAAAAAAACATTTACCGTATTTTGCGCATACTGTAAATGTCGTAGTTGAAGAGGCACTAAAGTTAGCCTCTGTTAAATCAGCTGTTATAAAAGTACGAGAAATTGTTCATTGGATAAAAAATTGTGTTGTGCAGGCGGATAAGCTACGGAAAATCCAAACGTGCAATAATGTTTCAGACGAATCAGTTTTAAAACTTACTGCAGATGTAAGAACTAGATGGAACTCAACATTTTTTATGTTAGAACGATTCCTAAAGTTGAGAATAGTAATATCAGAAATTGTAGTCGAGAGTGTAGTAGTTCCAAATTTTCCAAGTGCTGTGGAAATGTAAACAAAGAAGGAGCTTACAGCTGTATTGAAGCCTTTTGAATACGTAACAAGAGAAACATCTGACCAAAAGTATATAACAATTTCCAAAATTATACCAATGCTTAATTGCTTAACTACAGAACTGAATAATATCACACCAAACTCTACAATTGTTAAAGACTCTCTCTCAATAAACAGGATGTTTTATTAAGAGAGCTGAAAAAAAGGTATAGCATGATTGAATTAAATGACCATGCAGCCATTGCTACGCTTTTAGACCCAACGTTTAAAACCTACACTTCCAAGACCCCTCTGCATGTGGAAGAGCTATTCAAAAACTTAGAACTATGGTTGTCGGACAACTAAGTAGCCCAAGTGAGTCAGAAGATGATGCCTCATCTACTGCACCACCCGAATATGATTTTTGGAAACATCATAAGGAGTTGACAAACAGACACAAGAAAAAAAAATCTCATAAGGGCGATGAAGTTTCTCTATATTTATCAAATCCAGTAGTTTCCCTTCAAAGCAACCCATTTGCAGAATGGGATGATATGATATTTGTATTTCCTTGTTTGATCTACAATTAAATATTGTTGTATGCACAACAATATTTAATTGTAGTCGCAACATCGGTTCCAAGCGAGTGCTTATTTTCCAAAGCCGGGGCAACAATATCGCAAACAAGGGATTGTCTCCAAAATACCTAGAGCAGTTACTGTTTTTGGGAAATCTTGATGCTAAAGAGTTTTTTGTTTAATATAATAAGAAAAAAATAAAATGTTTCTTTATTGAATAAAAATTAGTTAATTAATTACTTTACTTTTAATTTTTATTCTCACAAAATTATTGTCCTTTAACATTTGCTACGTTATTTTCATTTAAAAAATCTAAAAGTATTGATATGAGTAAATATCGATACATTAGGAGTATTTGTATGAGTAGTATCGAAAAATGATTTGAGTACTGCTGATATGAGTAGGTATCGATACTTTCATGGTATCGGAACATCCCTACGCGTGATTGACGAAATGCCATTACACGTATAATCAAAATTCGTGACTAATAGTTGATAGACGTAAAAATCAAAATATCCAGATGTTTGTCAATCAATTTCATTCAACCGTTAATCACCGCATTACACGGTAGGTTATTCGTCAATCACAACCGCGATTGTTGTAAAACTGACAGCAAAACCTACCATGTAGTGGGCGTCAAGTTGATAACCTTCAGCACTATGTAAATAACCTTCGCGCAAGTGCAAGCAATATTTGACTAAGTTTTACCACAATCTGATGAACAGTATGACGCTAGATGGCATGGATTTATGAAATCATGGATTGGTTTATTAAGATGACAGATTTTGTTCAGACTTACTTAACATTTATCTTTATATTTTGGCCAGTTTACACAATATTTTTGTGAATTATAGCTTATGTGTTAATCTGATGTATGAGCTATATTATTGTATTTTCATTTAAATCGATACTGTAGTTCTTTCATGAAAGAGTAACAAACATCCATACATCCTCCCAAACTTTTACATTTATAAGATTATTAATATGTATATAATAAAGGTAAATTTTAACCTTTTATTATTTAATTGACTGATGAAGAGCTATCGTATAACAGAACTGTAATGTAAGGTAGTAGGTTAAGACTGATTATATAGGTGGCGGGTAAATTAAGATAATACAGCGAATTCATTGTGGAATAAACTGTTATAGATTGCGTTACGTTCTTTGTGTTCTCTCCGGCTTTTATATACATTACATTGGCGACGAGGATAAAAACGTAGTTTTATTGTGTTTTTAATCGTTGTGAGTAAAAGTTTACAAGTTAATTCGAGGACAATGTCGATTGGAAAAGTAAATGAGTTCGATGTAAAAACCGGGGTGTGGTCGTCATATGTTGATAGACTTGAGATGTATTTTACGGCAAATAAAATAAATAGTGATCTCAAGTTGCCCACGCTAATAGCAGTCATGGGCGATGAGGCCTACGAGTTGCTGGTGAACCTGGCTAGACCCGTGAATCCGTCGGAATTAAAATACGACGCCGCCATTAGTCTATTGCGCAACCACTTACAACCGGCACCATCCGCGTTAGCGGAAAGGTATCGTTTTAGACAAAGGAGACAAGCAGTGGATGAGAATATAGCAGAGTACGTAGCAGAGTTAAAAAAATTAACACGTCACTGCAAACTGGGCAACGGTCTTAGTGAAAGTCTACGGGATCAATTTGTCTGCGGATTAAGGAGCGATGTTATTCGACAGAGGCTGTTTGCGGAGGATGACACATTAAGTTTCACCAATGCGATAAAAATTGCCGGCTCGTTAGAGGCTGCGGAGCGGGACGCTGCGGCGGTAGATGCAACCGGGTCAGCAATATCAGGAAGAGATATGGCGGGGGTGCACTCGCTAGCGATCGGGAAAAATGGATCGCTGAGAACGTTGGGGGGAGGCGGGCGCGGAATGCTCGGAGACCGCCAGCCACAACACAATCGGCTGGGATCGGCTACAGCTGTAAGGAGGCCCGATGCAATAAGCAGTCAAAATTGCAGCGGATGCGGAGGGACAGACCACGGTTATGAGGATTGTCGGTTCCGGGAATACGTGTGCAGCAGGTGCAAGAGCACGGGTCACCTACGACGCGTGTGTCCGGGACAGGGCGCGGCAGATGTTCGTACAACTAGGCATACCGCTTGTCATCAGGCAGACGTAGCACGGCATGTTGAAGACGGGGGTTAATTAGAGGAGTTTCATCACCTATGTTTAGGTGACTATAAAGCGGTGAGTTTGCCAGTGACTGTAAATGATAAAGTCATCAATATGGAGGTTGATACGGGAACGGCAGTGTCATGCATTAGCGAACAAACTTATAAGCTATATTTTAGTACCATTATGTTAGATCGCACAAGTGTTAGTTTGAAGTTCTATGGTTATCTGAATTAAAAATAAAATTACCATTATTAACCAACTGCCATAACTTGGAGAGTAACCGAGTTAAATTAGATGATCAATTGAAAAATTTGTTTTCCAGATATAAAGAATTGTTTAATGAAGGGCAGGGACGGTACACGGGCGGCAAGGCGACGTTAAGAATCCGCGAGGGGGCAGCGCCGGTGTTTCACCGCGCGAGGCCGATACCGTACGCGCTGCGCGAGTGCGTCGACGCCGAGCTGGACGCGATGCTGCGCGACGGCGTCATCGAGCCCGTCGACTGCTCCGACTGGGCCTTGCCGCTGGTACCGGTAAACAAAGCTGACGGTTCGTTGAGAATTTGTGCTGACTATAAGGCGACGATAAACCCTGTTTTGTTAGTTGATCGATATCCCTTACCTAGAGTTGAGGATTTAATTGTTAGGTTGAGTGGGTCGAAATATTTTTCAAAAATTGATCTGTCTCAAGCCTATAATCAGATAGAGCTAGACGATACTAAAAAGTTAACCGTAGTTAATACGAACCGCGGCTTATTTCAGTATAATAGTTTAGTGTACGGGCTAGCATCGAGTGCTGGAATATTTCAACGTATTATGTATAATTTGTTAAAGGACATCCCCAATGTCGAAGTATTTTTAGACGACGTCATAATAGGCGGGAATATTATGTTCGACCACCTTCAAGCCGTAGAAGCTGTCTTTAGCAGGTTACATAAGAACGGATTGAAATTAAAAAATCACAAATGTATATTTTTTGTAAACGAAGTGCAGTTTTTAGGGTATGTACTTAGTAAAGACGGAGTAAAAACAGACCCGAAAAAGATAGAAGCAATTGCTAAGCTACCTAGGCCTTGTAACGTGACCGAGCTACGGTCTTTTTTGGGTTTAGTAAATTTCTACGCAAAATTTATTAAAAACATGAGTAGCTCGTACCGTTATACCAATTACTAAAAAATGGTCAAAATTGGTTTTGGTCGAAGGAATGTGAGCGCGCGTTTGTTGAAGTCAGAAATGTATTAATCAGTGCGGAAGTATTAGCTCACTACGACCCCCAGCGGCCGGTTATAGTAACGTGCGACGCGAGCGCCAGAGGGATAGGGGCCGTGTTGTCGCAGCTGAGCGATGACGGCAATCGCGAGCGCCCCGTGGCCTATGCGTCACGCACGCTTAACGACGCCGAGAAAAACTACTCGCAGATACACCGCGAGGCATTAGCGATTATATTTGCCGTAAATAAATTCCATCAGTATTTGTACGATCGGCATTTTACTCTGCGCACCGATCACAAGCCACTAGTGTCTATTTTTGGACCTAACACAGGTAAACCAACTATGCTTGCGAGTCGGATGCAACGGTGGGCAATTATTTTGTCCGCTTATTCGTTTGATATTGAGTACATACGTACCGATGTGAATGGAGCGGACGGCCTGTCGCGTCTGCCACTGTCGTCTAGTAAGATGACTCATGCGGCGCCCGAGCAAACGTATTTTCATTTCGTTCAGCAATCATTGTTGTTAGATTATAATAAAGTTAAAAATGAAACCGCTCGGGATCCAATTCTCTCGAAGGTTATTAGCTATATTCGGGATGGTTGGCCAGGGGAATGTAATATTAAGGGTTTACAACCGTTTTTTAATCGTAAGAATGAATTATATGAGGAAATAGGCTGTGTGATGTGGGGGCATAGACTAGTTGTTCCGGAGGCCTGTAAGGTAAAAGTTTTATGTATGATTCAAGAACCTCATATGGGCATTGTCAAATCCAAGGCTATAGCTCGAAGCTATCTTTGGTGGGCCGGTGTGGACGAGGCGGTGGAACGGATATGCCGGGAGTGCGAGATATGCGCGGCGCAGGCGGATGCTCCGCCAAAACAGACGCCTCGTATGTGGCAATGGCCCAATCGTCCTTGGTCAAGGTTACATTTAGATTTTATGGGGCCCGTTTTTGGAAAAACGTACTTGGTAGGGGTCGATGCGATGTCAAAATGGCTAGAAATCTATCAAGTAGCGAGTACGGCAGCCACGGGGGTAATAGATAAGTTAAGGGAACTTTTTCGTCGTTGGGGACTACCCAAACAAATCGTGACGGACAACGGTCCCCCGTTCTCAAGTATAGAATTCAATAACTTCATGTGCAGTCACGGTATCTATCATATTTTCACGGCTCCGTATCACCCTGCTTCGAACGGTTTAGCTGAGAACGCAGTAAAAACCTTGAAGCGGGTTATAAAGAAAACGGTGCAGGAAAAACAAAACGTAGACAGGGCACTATAAACTTTTTTGCTATATTATAGGAATACGGAGCATTCAACCACTGGCGAGAGTCCCGCTATGTTATTGTTAGGTAGACGACTGCGCACTAAGTTAGATATTTTAAAACCAGACAGGGAAAACAGGATTTATAAGGTGCACCGACACCAGAAAGACTTAGCCAAAGGAGGAGACAGGAAACTGAATCCTTCGGAAGATGTTTGGTATAGACAATACTTGTATAGGGGTCCTAATAGCTATACAATTAAGGGAAAAGATAGCGAAATAATTCATAGACATATAGACCAATTAAAAAGGAGACCTTTAAGGACATCTATGACATGTCCTTACAATGATCCTCAGTCAGGTTGCAGCACAAATTCAACCAACGAGCCGACGGTGACACCAGAGGTGGGAACGGCTCAGCCGGGTCGGTCGGCGGATCGGGATGACCGTGGGGTATTAGAAACCTCAGAGGCGGAAATCGGCTTAAAGGAGTCTGCAAGGGAGACGACCAGTGAGAACCCGGGTTCACAGGCGTATCAGGATACCTTGCCAAACGTTGTACCG